TGGTCCCTCTCTCTCTCTCTCTCTCTCTCTCACTCTGTCCCTCTCTGGTCAAATTAAAAATCAATAAAATAAAAATAAAAAAAAATAAAAGTTTATCAAGATTATTAAACTTATACATTTATGATTTGAACATATTTATATTTATAACATGTATGGAAATAACATTGAAAAAGACTTAGTAATTAGTTGAGAATGATTTTTTTTTCTTTTTGTTTGGAGAGGTTTTTGCTATTAGGGTGCGTATGCTCGCCAGAAAGACAGAAAGAGACAGAGAGACAGAAAGCAAGAAATCACCCCCCCAGGGGGTATGGCCATGCTGCAATCCCTTCTCCTCCATTCTCCTCTCGGGATCTTGGGCACACATGCACATGCCCCCGGCGTGAGTTTTAAGCCACCGGGTCTGGGACGCGAACCACGGTCAACTACATGGGAGTCCAGCGACATAGCCATTACACTAACTGCTGGTCCCAAGAATGATTTTTATATAAATTGACTTATTAGATGAGTTTTTTATAAAAATTAGATGTATTTTTTGAGGTGTTCCAGGGGCTCAATTGGAAAACCCAAAAGTTAAATTTTAGATTAAAAAATGCTTAATTTATAATTTGATGTTTAAGAAACATGTTAAAGATGTTAAAAAAACTCAATATAACATTTAATTATAACAAGATTATAAATTATTGAGTATGATATTTAAGTTGATAATTATAAAAAATATACAATTAAAAAGTTTAACTGTTTAAGTTTTATTTTTTAAGTAATTAAAATTTTACTAAATGTAAAATATAAAATTTTTTTTTTTTTCCCTCAAGTCCTGGTCTGACCTTGGCCTCGACCTCTCCACCTCCTACAAGCTGGAACCCTGAGTTCTGGCGGTGAGATGGAGGCCCTGGACAACATTCATGCAGCACCTGCCTTGGGACTGGTGCTCTCCCCACAGCTGGGCCCATGGCCTGGGCTCTCTGCTCACTCACCATTCCACTCTCCAAAGGTTGCTGCTCTGCACCGTCCATGGCTGGCTACCCGATCGTACACCGCCTGGAGAGCCTTTTCCTTTCTCCATCAGTGCTCACTGTCCCCAGGGTCACCCATAGAATGAATACGTTTCATCTTAACCCAAGGAAACAGCCTAAATCTGGATATTACTAACCTCGGAATGATAATGCTGCTTCCAAAAGTTTATTTATTAAACATCAGAGTCTTGGAGCCCTGAGAGGGAAGAACACAGGCTCCAAGTGGGGCAGGGGGGCTGAGTGAACGTAGTCTCAGGGGTATATAGCAGGAGACCCACTCAAATAACCCGCTTTAACTCAGGGATCAGGAAAGAGGTTCCATGATACAGATAAGGAAAAAAGACTATTCAATGATTTATTTTCCTGCCTAGAATTAAAAACTGGTAACTCCTGTGCCATTTTCTGGGGACACATTTACTAATTATGTCTCCCTCACAGTGTCTTAAAATACTTGATTTTTTTTAGGGAAGAAAAATTTAATTAACACAAATACACACACACACACACATACACACACACATACGCACACACCCCACTAAAAGTCTTTACTGGGTCAGGCCCATGGTCTAGTGTCTTAAAAAAGCCAGGTCCCACATAGCTCACCATGGTTTGAATCCCACCCCCTGGCTTGAAAACCACTCAGGGCACATGTACATGTGTGTCCAAAATCCTGACAGGACGAAGAGATGGGGATGAAGGGATTGAGGAGTGACACACCCAAAGGGGAACGGTGTTCCTTCCCTCTTCTTCCCTCTCTCTCTCTGGCCAGTACACACATCCTCTGGCAATTAAAAACAACAACAAAACAAAACAAAACAGTATTTACTCTTACTATCTGGGATGCATTGTGAAATTTTTGGTTGTATGTTCTCTCTTTTAGAAAAAGCACTGGTTATGACTTAGTAACAGATCCTTCCAACTACTAATATATTCCAGCCCATAACTGACCTAGAACACAAACATGTATCACAACAATGCTAATTGGGCAATTTAAGGGAACTTTTTCTTTTTGGTATAGGGCATGTGCACTCGCCAGAGAGAGGAACAGAGAGAGAGAAAGCATCAAGCTGCCAGGTCCAGGACGGGCACCACACAGCCACATGGGATCCCTCCACCTTAACCTCCATGTCAGCTGCTGGCCCAATTTAAGGGACCTTCATAGTCTTCTTCCTTCTCAGAGTTAGTCCCCAATAGTATGCAGTGTACAAGAAAGAGGAGACATAGCCTTGTTACCATGTATCCAGCCTGGACAGGGTGCAAGGTTGCAGTGCACATTGAAATTGCTTTCCTTCCTAGACTCAAGCTGAGGGGAAATGCCTCCCAATGATGTTAACAGGACCACATACCTGTATTGCACATTTTATGTAAAGGTCCTTTCTACGTACATTACTTTATTTGATCCTCACAACACCCCCATGAGGGTAGGCAGTCCATAGATGTCAATGTTCTCTGTGTAACTGCCTGGGCTCCAGGCTCCAATTCATCTCAGAAGTCTGCTTCACTCATTGCAAAGCCAGGCACAAGCGAGTGTCACCTCCTTTCTGATTTTCCATCACTTGGTACTGATGTTGTCATTCTTATAAATTTTGTAACCCTCCTTTTAACTTCTCCAGTAAAAGTCTTCTTCCTATGTCAGTATCTTTCACTATCGGTTTGCCAAACATAGGTGACAAAGCACTATCAATAGGCCCTGAAAGGGGCGCCCTTGGGAGGGGTCCCATGCTTTAGAGGATCCACCCCTTGGTGATGTGGGATCCAGGACTCAGTACTCCCCCACCTCAACTGTTAACTCTAAAGATCTGCTGTTAGGACTTCACATTTGCTCCATGTTTTCAAAACAAAAGGCTACTGTGTCTGAACACTGTGAGGTTTGTGTGTTGTGTGCCTACTGACTTCAGAGGTGGAGATGACTTAGGAAGTTTAGGAGGACCCATCTGACCGGCAGAGGTACTTGGATAAGAGAAAAGACAGATTAATGGATTTGTCCACACCTTCCCTTTAGGGAGCATGAATGGATTCATTCATTCAGTATTGCTTCCTTGTAGAATCCCATGACTATTTCTTTGTTTCTTTCTGGTCCCAATTTGTGATTCTAGAGGTTCTCCTGAATCAATGCAGTATTGTCAATAGCTGCACATGGAAGCTGATGAATGTCTTGCAATATAGAACAAATCATATTACTCCTACATTTATAATGTGGATTATAGGGATAGATATAACATGTATGGAGCCTGATAGCAATTCTTTACTTTGACAGCTAGATGGACATTGGCATTAGAATTGGAAATGTTTTTGTTTGCATAAAAAATATTTAATGGCCCAGCTGTGGTGGTACACAGGTAGCACCAATTGCTTGGGAGGCTAGTAGCCACATGAGAGGCCCAGGTTCGGTTTCCAGGCCAACCTGAACATACCAGGTACAGTTGCATGTGCCTGAAATCCTGGCTGGCTATGAGGCCTCTTTTTCTCAAAGAGGGAAAAATAAGAAGAAGAAATTTTAATTAAGGGCCAGCTCTGTGATCTAGTGGATGAGGGAACTAGATTCCACATGGTCAATTGTGTAGTTTAAATCCTGGAG